TCGACAACTGCTGTGTGCAGGCATTTCAGTGGCCATTCAGAAGGGAAGTATGATGTGTTTGGCTATTTGGGAACAGTTCCTAAAGTCTCATATAGCCACCCATATAGTTCCCTTTGGCTCAACGTGCTTCGAGGGCCATTTGGAAATTCCACACAGTCACATAGCAAAAAAAATGAAGCAAGGGATTGCAGCTATGACAACGATGAGCCAGCATGTTCTAGTCATCACTGTCTTGCTTTATTGCTTAATTGTATATTTTGTATGCATACAAAGATGAGTGGCTGTGCTGTTTTGAAACTCAAAGAATTGATCTATGATAAAAGAAACAACCCCAGTATCTTAGAACAAGCTTCTGGGTCAGATTTGTTAAAGAACTCAATTCAGCTTCCTAAGAACTTCAAAGTTATTTCCAAAAATAGACTCTAAATATTTAAATAAATGACCATCTTCAACAACTTGCCTACTCACAGAACAATATTAAACACAACCAGTGGGGCTTTTCTGTTTATGCCCCACTAATGACCTCCCAGAAGTCATTCAAACTCACAATGAGGCAAGAGAGCATGAGCCAGCATATTCTGGTTATCATTTTCCTGGCCTCATAGCTTAATTGTATATTTTGTATGTGTGCAAAGATGAGTGACTTGCTAACAGAATGTATCTTTGCTATACTAGCCTTTTTCCGAAAGGAAATGAATGGATCTACTTATTCTGGATAACCGCAAAGATTGCCAGAAGTATGAGAAGACAACCCCACTAACTTAGAACTCCAGACCAGCTTTGTCAAAGAACTCAACCATATTTCCAAAAACCTTCAAACCTATCTCCAGCAACAGACTTTGGTGATTATGAGATTCCTCTTGGAATAGTGTTCTGTGATTCTTCATGGAGGGATTGAGCCAGTCTCCAAAAACAGGTGAGGGAACAGATAAAAGTAATTTAGAATTTGCAGAAAACAGGAGGACCTTTTCTGCAGAATTGCTGATGCTTGGACAATTGCCATTTTTATACTTGGGGGGATCTGATGGTGGCTATTGGTAGAAAGCCACATGCCTTTCTCTTGGGATAAATACATCAATTATCCATTTCCCATGACAGTTTTATCCATGTAAAAGGAAGGGGAAGTCAATGGGTCTAGAAATACATGTGGTA